TGTGTTTCAGTGCGAAAGCAAAAGCACTTTATTTGGCCTTCCGGAAGTAGATGCAATTAGGAATCATTGGTTAAGATTTATTTACAACAGAACAGCACAACCCAGATGTTCGAATTTGTGCAACGTATTTTATGGACGACAGTTTTTTAACCTAGAAGAGTATAAGGCTGGCTGTGCACAAAGGCTATTTCTTAAAAAAAACAAAAAGGGTAAATTCCGACTTTGCTATGACAATCTGGCGCTTCTGAATCAGCCAGAAAAGATTCCAATTATTAACAAAGAGCAGTTTCTGTTCTTTACACCATGAGAATAACCATTCATTTAAAGCAAAAAGTCTACTGAACCTTTCGTGTCCTCGTCAATACGTGGGAAGTAGTCCTGACACGATGATCGTCGTCGTGGGCGATGTGCTGCACACTGTCTTGATCAGGCTCCTGAAGTCCCTCTTCAGTGTCTCCATCAGCCGCAGCTTGGTGTCGTTAACCCCCGCGTGAAGCACGACCGTTCCGGTGCTCTCGTTGCCCTTCAGGATCGCACGGGATGTTTCCAGCGCGGCTCTCCGCTCTCTCAGCTGGGTCTGCCTCTCCACCAGGTCGCGGATCTGCTTCTCCACGGCCTCCAGCTATGCAGCTCGAACGTGTCCTCACCTGCACCAAAGAGTATAGAAGACCAAGAGGCGAAACTCTGATGCTTTTTGGGTAACAGCCACTAGGTGGCGCTTCGGTAGCGCTGCCTCCATTTTGGGGTGAAAATTCCAACTGGACAACAGCACAGATATACAGAAATAAACATTTCTCAACTAACTTTAACTGTTTTTAGTCTAGTAGTAAACTTAAATCCGTGTAGGAACTGCAGGTCCTAGCCATAGAAACCATAATAATTTATATGGCTAAATAATGAGCTTATGCAACTTTACACAATTACTTACTATATTATTATTTACTATTACTCCACTAGGTCTGAAATATTGTACGTTTTCATCCCCTGGAATACACTACAAACATGATGATCTAGATTAGAACATGATGCATTGCTGTGTCTCTGTCATAATTCAATAATTAAACAATTTTGGAGAAAGTGGCTGTACGTGTTTTTTTGTTTTGTTTTTTGTTTACAGTCTTCCTTTAACAGACATTAATATAAGACAATACTGCAAAAACAGTTTACTGTCAAGCTGTTATATTCCTGTTATATATTTATTGTCCAACATTCCAAATTTTTCTGTCATTAATTTAATTTCATATGTTGGTATTAATTCAATGTTAATAATGCTAACACTTGAACTTAAAATATTTTCCACCGAAACTGACATGGTTTCTAGAAAGCAAAAGGTTTTGTGAAAAAAAGGTAAGACTTTAAAATAAAATCTGTAAAATAAACTGTTAAAAGGATTTGATGATCACTAGTCTAGTGATTGTACGATATTGTTGTCATCGTTCAGGCTGTATTCCAGCTTTAATGTGCGGTTTTTTAAACAAAGCAGTTGATATTTGCCATGGCGGCAGCTAGAAGCTAGTGGACTGCTGAGTCGCTTTCACCCCAAAATGGCGGAAGCGCATGGCTGCTGCTGGGCGTCGCTGTTGCAATGGAACGTTCTACTGAGTTTCGCCTCTTGGTCTTCTATACTCTTTG